TCTCTTTGCATTTCCTCAGTAGCTCCCTTGCAGAAGAAGCCAAAGTCTGGTTTGAAAGGCGGAATAAAATTTTTACATGGAATGGAATTCTCCTAAGCTAAGCATGTGTGATGTCAGGCCACCGTCCTTTCATGCTCTCCACTCATCATTTTCTGGGCCTTGGCACCTGGGGGCGGGGAGTGGATAGATGGTCACTGTGATGAGAAAGGTGGGGGTCACAGGCTGGTGGGAGGACAGACATGGCCCCAAACAGTTGTAAAACAAGGTGGAATAAAATGTGTTCACACATCCTGTGTGCACCGGCATGCAACGGGAACATCCCCCAAGGTCCCCTTATCCAGGATCTTCCCTCTGCCAGCCTCCAACCTCCAGGTCTGGGCTTTCCAGGGACTCCTCACCTGCACCCCCAGCCCCCATGCCCATCTGCCCCTGACCCCCACCCCTGCAGGGATATTCCTTCGTGGCGCCGTCCATCCTGTTCGACCACAACAACGCTGTGATGACCGATGTGCTGGAAGCACCTGGTGCTGGAGACCGGCCAGGCCGGGCAGCGGTAGCCAGGAGCGCCATGATGCAGGTGGGCGTGGTGGGGGGACTCTGGGCCTGGATTCACCAGGAGCCCACGGTGTGATCTCGGTGAGGGCCTGAGCCTCTCCAAGGTGGGATGTGGTGTGACCGCGGGGCTCCAGAGTGGAATCTCTGACGCTCCCCCTTCACCTCCAGGACTCGGCCTTCTTCCAGCAGTATGAGCTGGACCTGCGGGAGCCCGCGCTAGGCCAGGGCAGCTTCTCCGTGTGTCGCCGCTGCCGCCAGCGCCAGAGCGGCCAGGAGTTCGCGGTCAAGATCCTCAGTCGCAGGTGGGCGGGCGGGGCTCGGCAGAGCCGCAGTGTCCGGCGTCCGGAGGAGGCCCGGGCGGGAGTTCGGCCTCCCTAACCCCACCCGCCCTGCTCCCCAGGCTGGAGGCGAACACGCAGCGCGAAGTGGCCGCCCTGAAGCTGTGCCAGTCGCACCCCAACGTGGTGAATCTGCACGAGGTGCATCAGGACCAGGTGACGCCTTCCGGGTGGACCGCAGGAGGCAGCCCGTGGAGGGCGGGGGACGGGGCCCGAGGGCTCCGTGGGCGGGACCTGGGGTCGGATGAGGGAGGCCTCTGGGGACCAGGGAGGCCCGGGAGGTGAGATTTGAGGGGAGCAGGGCCTGAGGACCGCAAGGCGGAGCTGAGCATGGCCAAGGAAACGGAATTTGAGGAGGGCGCGCAGGGGGCAGGACTCAGGGGGCGGAGTTTTAAGGTGGGCAAAGGAACGGTTGTGGGGGGGAGGGGAC